TGGTTAGATAAGCAAAAGACTTGTCTGGTGTTTTTCCGCCTGGCTCAGTTGGTAGCACTTTCGCCTGAGTCAGAAGGCTGTGGGTTCAAGCCTCAAATCTGAATTTTGAGCGCACATAGTCTAGACTGTGCTGGGGGAGCACTACAAAGGTGTAGATGTCATTCTTCAGAACCAAGGCCCTGTGTGACTGTTCAGGTGGCTGTTAAAGATCCCATGACACTATTTTAAAAGAGAAGGGAGTTTCTCCCAGTGTCCTGGTCAATAATCCCCCAGATAAAATTGGTCACTAACTTCATGACTGTTTATGGGACACTTGCTGAGCGCAAATTAGCTGTCGTGTTCATGGTATAATTTACAGTAATTCTTGTGAAGCACTTTGAGAAGTCTCAACAATGTGATAATGCACTATATCAAATGCAAGGATCATTATTATTAATATCAATTAGGGCGAAGAGTCTGAAATATTGCAGGGTTTCCTATCTTCAACATTCTTACTTATTGGGCTCTTTCTCCATATAGTCCCACTGATGACTGCAATTGACACCCTTCCTACTGCAATCATTTTATTCTAGTCATCCATTCCAAAAGGAAGGTTAACATACTAAAACCTGTTGGACATATTGACCTGAAATAATTGTTGTCCAACACATTCCATCCTTGATTTGAAAGAATGCCTCAAAGCACTTAACAAATATTGCAGGGGGCACAGAGCAGGGAAATAAGAGATATAAAGATGATGACCGAAGGCATGGTCAAACAGATTTTCGAATCCAGTAATGTAGTGGTTAGTACGCTCTCACAAGCGAGAGGACCTGCGTTCGATTCCCGGGCAAAGCGAAACCTTAGACAAGTTTCCTTACTTTACACACCTCTCTTTTCCTAGCAGTACGTAGGATCCCGGTTGTTAGTTGATTGGAGGATCGCTTTCTGGGGGTAATAATCCCTCGAAAAGAAAAAAAAAATTTGGTCACTTAATCCGTGACTGTTTGTGGGATACTGTTGTGCGCAATTGGCTACCGCGTTTTGGCTACACTAAATATACAGTCAATTCACTTTACAATATATTCTATGAAGCTCTTTGAGATGTCTCAATGCTGTGATAAGGCGCTATATCCAATGCAAGTATTATTATTATTATTGGGGAGCATTCTGAAGGCAGGGAGTGAGAGGCAGTTCGACTAAACAGTTAGAATTTTATTTCAGGAGCATTTTGAAAGTGAAACATCAAAAGCTAACGTGCACCATGATGTAAGCAAGCCCACTGCTATTGAGATCCCATTATTTCATAGGTCTGAAATATACTGTGATAAGCACTCCATTATTACCACTGCCGAGTTCTGGGGAAAGTTATTTGTAAAACAATTTCATCTTTCTTCTGCAGCTTCCAGTCATCTGTTACACACCATTCAGCAGATTGCCAATTTTGATAAGTGAGCAGCAATTGTTTCCATGTTAGGTGTACATAAAATGGACAAATAAAGCTGCTCAATTTGAAATCAAGGCTATTTAATTTGCAATTTGGCGTTATATAGAACTCCACTGGAATAATACTGAAATGAAATGCAATTTTTTTTAACTCAGTAAATATCCAGCCACAATATCTAGCCATCTAATCTTTCACCATGCTAATTTAATATGTGAGAGAATACAGCATCATAGTAACAAAGGGGAAGGAATAGAACAGCAGTCACTGAGGTTTCAGTCAGAAGCAGTGATACCCTTGTCACAACCAGACCAGTCAGAGATGCCATTGTCACTGTGTTCTCTCTGTCAGCTCCCTTAGGTAGCTATCTGTTTTCACTTTATCCAAAAGTTAGGCAAGTTTCCTTGCTCCACACTCCTGTTTACCTAGCAGTAAGTAGGAACCTAGATGTTAGTTGATTGGCAGATCTCTTTATCGCTTTTCCAGGGGTAATAATCCCTTTTTTAAAAAAACTGTGATCACTCAATCCACAACTGTCTGTGGGACATTGCTGTGCGCAATTGGCTGCCGCGTTTCACCCACAAATATACGGTCAATTCACTGTACAGTATATTCTGTGAAGCAATTTGAGACGTCTCAAAGATATGATAAGGTACTATATCAAATGCAAGGATTATTATTATTTTTTATTAGATTTATCCATTCAAGTGTTCCTCCACACAGTGCCACCAACTCACCATTTGAAAAGCCACTGTGGATTTAGGTGAAGGGAGCTATTTCATGCTCATTGCCAAATGCGCTTCCCTATGTTAGACAAATTGTGAAAATGTCCCCTTTTTTAAAAAAGTCAGCAAGTGATTATCTCCGATGTGATATATTGTGAGAACATCAACCCAGAGTCCCCCTCATTGCTCACCATAAGACTGCAAAAACAGTCGCTATGCTTGCGAGTAAACTACTTTAAACCACTTTGAGGTTTAAGGTATTAAACAAACGCAACTTCTTCCAGTTTTACAGCTCGATGTTGGAGAATATGTATTTATGCTATCTTACTGAACAAAGATGATAAGTTAGAGTTGCTCCACCTGGAGTTCTGAATGTATCAGAATGTATTAAGCACCACCAGGATAGTTACTGGCAGCACATTGTGAGTGCAGTGTACTTGAAATCCTCTTGTAACCCATCCAGGAGTCTGTCCTTTTTTTGAAACGTAAAGTCTCCAATAATAGTTCTCGTCACACTGCTTGATAAGACGAATGTGACTAAATCCTGAGGGCTGCCTCTGTTTGCACTGTGCGCTTGTACACCATTAAACATAATGAAATGAGCAACACTTAAAAGCAGGAGATATATTTTCTGTTTGCTGTATTTATAGCAAAGCATAGTGGAGCAAATCATTTATGTCTGTTGCATGTCTCTCACCCCGTCAATGCTACAATCAGTGGCCAGAGCTTCAATGTCTACGGTCTTGAACTCTGAAACTGTCTCCCTCTGCCTCCCAGTCTCGTCCCCCTTTTCTGTCTGTTTTTAAATCCTTCCTAAACTCCTACCTCTTCAATCATACTTGCAGTCAACTCCCTTTCCCCCTTTCTTCTCCTCTCTTTCTTAGGATTTAACCCCATCTTTGTCAATCACTCTGGCATTGCTCTCTGTGAAGAACGCTATATATGAGAATATCACCCTCGGATGATATATAAATGCAAGTTGTTGTTCTATTTGCAACAGCTCTATATAATATCAGATGTGTAATGTAGAATACTTTAATGACAGCCCTTCTCCAGTATGTGAGCACAAGATTTTTATGCATGTTCCTTAATGCTTAAAATATCCTCTTTCTTTTCATTCTTCTGACATTGGAGATCATCATTTCCCAATTCTGATCAATCTGTTACATTCTGAAGAGTTACACTTTAGCTTTAACATTCTTACCTTCTGAATAAAAGGGAAACACATGTGAAAGGTAAGGCAAATGAAAGACTTCAGACTGAAAATATCTGCTTCCTTTCTCACTCCCTACTGACGATTCAAATGTGAAAACAACTAATAGTGATATTTGTGCAAGAATGTGATTCACAATGTAATGTTATGCGAATCACTACATTTCTATCGTAAATGCCTCTATAATGTTTCAAAGCAGTGCCTGTTTGCTTTTACTATACAAATAAAAATATTTTGGTTGCTTTCATGTTTATCCATCATAATTACTGGAATTTGCATGAAGCAACATGTTCCATTGATGTATTGTATCTTACGAAGTTCAGAGTCGTTTGCAAAACAGTACACTCCTGACAACTTGTCACTCCAAAGGAAGTGGACTCACTCTAAAGGAAATGAGTTGTCACGATTGACAAATTAGGCATATGTATACAGTACATAAATAAATACAGCCAAGATATTGACAGAATGATAACAATAAAAATCCTTGCAATTTGTGTCTATGTGTCTTTGTGTGTGTGTGTGCGTGTGTCTCTCTATGTGTGTGTGTCTTTCTCTATGTGTTTGTGAGTGTCTGTGTATGTGTGTGTATGTGTTTCTATGTGAGTATTGCTGTGTATGTGTGTCTCTCTCTGGGTCTGTGTGCATTGCTGCGCCCTGAGAGGCAGCATTAGTATTATTATTATTACAGAACTGTGGTGTCCTGTAGCTCGGTAGTTAGAGTACTCGCCTCGCAAACGTGAGACTTTGGACCGATTCCCGGCAGGGCAAAACGTTGGACAAGTTTCCTTACTCCACGTGCCAGTTTATCTAGTAGTAGTCCATTTGTTAGTCCATTAGCGGATGGCTTTTCCGGGTGTAATAATTCCTTAAAAAAATGTGGTCACTCAATCCACGACTGTTTGTGGGACATTGCTGTGCGCAATTGGCTGCCACGTTTCACCCCGTCAATTCATGTTACAGTATATTCTGTGAAGCGTTTTGGGACGTCTCGAAAACGTGATCAGGTGCTATATCAAATGCAAGGACTATTATTGTCATTATTATTATTATTATTGCTGCGAGTCACAGGTTACTTAAATGTCTCCATCGATACTGCACCGACACTAGTCGTTATCAATCAGTGCGGTATCGATGAAGGACATTAAAGTAACCTGAGAGCAGAAGAATGACTTGATCGATTTCGTTTTTTTTTAAATGTTGAGGATCTTTGATAAAAAGCAAAAAAAAAGGGGGGGAGAGAAATCATCACCACCTGCACATTGACAGTGAGTGCAGAGCAGGTCAGTGTGTGAGTGAACTCCGCTCTCACTGCGCGTGCGCGGCACCCAGCGCAGTGCCTTGTGGGTATTGTAGTTCATCGCGCCGAGAAGCGGCCCCGAGAAAAGAGCGTTGGGAGAGGCCGCTCCCCTCCCGACCCCGAGTGGGCACCGAGTGGGCACCGAGAGGCCGCCCGACCCCGAGTGGGCACCGAGAGGCCGCCCGACCCCGAGTGGGCACCGAGTGGGCACCGAGAGGCCGCCCCCCCCCGACCCCGAGTGGGCACCGAGAGGCCGCCCGACCCCGACCCCGAGTGGGCACCGAGAGGCCGCCCGACCCCGAGTGGGCACCGAGAGGCCGCCCCCCCCGACCCCGAGTGGGCACCGAGAGGCCGCCCCCGACTCCGCCCGAAGCTCGAACTGAACACAGGAAGCGGCCTCTATCGGTTCCTGAGCCGGTTTTATACGAGGAGCGGCCGCCGGTGACCAGGCCCGGATCCGGGTGTAAAGTGAGTACATGTGACTCGTGCGTATGTGCATATCTTATACGTGTGTGTAAAGCTATGTGTATATATGTTTGTACCGTAATTGTATGTCTGTATTTATGTATATACCGTGTATGTATATATATATATGTGTGTGTGTATATGTATACTCTATGTGTGTGTGTATGTATATATGTATGTTTATACCGTATATGTGTGTGTGTGCGTATATATGTATACTGTATGTGTGTATGTATGTATATACCGCGTGTGTGTGTATGTATATATGTATGTATATACCACGTGTGTGTGTATCTATATACCACATGTGTGTGTGTGTATGTATATATGTATGTATATACCACATGTGTGTATGTATGTACCGCATGTGTGTGTGTATGTATATATGTATGTATAACCACGTGTGTGTGTGTATGTATACACCACATATGTATGTGTGTATATATGTATGTATATTCCACATGTGTGTGTATGTATATATATGTAGTATAAACGCTGGTATGGGAAACTTGGGCCAAATGCTCTGTTTCTGTGCCATTCTGTAGAATTGTATGAAATTGTTTGTGGATGTTATGAGAATATCACCCTCGGATGATATTTTGGAGAGTAGCTTTACAACAGTCTTAATTCAGTGTTTAAAAATAGTTACTACAATTTTCAGTAAAATTCTGTGAAGTGCTTTGGTACTTTTTGGGCTCCCCAGTTTTAAATTTTACCATTTTTAATTCTGGTGAATTCTGTTGATCTGTATAGATTTCTTCACACTCTTAAAACACTAAATGAACATGTCTTACACACAGTTTTAGGTTAGATATCAGGTACCACACTGGGGAGAGGAAAGCTTTACCAGTGAATCCATCACTTACAATATAAATAATCCTTGCATTTGATATACCGCTTTTCACGTCTTCTAGATGTCTCAAAGCGCTTCACAGAATAGACTGTAAAGTGAATTGACTGTATATTTGTGGGCAAAATGCGGCAGCCAATTGCGCACCGCAGTGTCCCACAAACAGTCGTGGATTGAAATGAACAATTTTTTTTGGAGGGATTATTATCAAGCGTGTGGAGTAAGGAAACTTGCCCAAGGTTTCACCCTGCCGGAAATCAAACCCAGGTGTCTCGCTTGCAAAGCGAGTGCCCTAACCACTGAGCTACAGTACTCCACTTGTTTCCCTTCTGGTGGTGCATGCTGCAAAATGCATGTTTGAAAATTGGATATGGATATAATCAGGCTCAATTGTAATGTCCTTGATGGTTAAGTAGTCTTTTGATACCTTGCTTGCTGTCTTGCAGATATGGAGCACTTTCTGAAATCTTTCAGTCCTAATGTTGCAATACTGCAACCTAGCTTTTTACTGAAAGAAGTGTATTTTTTGTTGCATTGTTATGTCTTTTCTGTTGCATTTTGTGATTTTTGGTGTGCATCCTGTGATCGTTCTCTCCAAAGTCTGATTTGAATTTTGTGACAGAATAAGAAAAGTAATAAGAAAAAATACAGATGAATTTTGATGAAGATCTGATGCCCAGGCTGTTGCCTGTGGATGACTTTGATACCATTGAAGATTTTGACCCGAGTGTGCCACCCAGAACGCCCAGGAGTACTTAAAAAGAGTCCAGTAAGTACAAGTAGAAAAGTTGACTGAAATGTGACTGTCCAGCATTCAATGGAAGAAAAGTACAAGACTAGTGGAATGTATATTGCACAACTGGTCTCCTTTGATATTGGTGATGCGTTATGAGCCATCCTCCTAATGTGAAATCACTCTGAGATCCTAGGTCATGTGAAGGGCGCTGTTATATAAATGCATGATGGTATTGTTGTAAAGCGCTACACCAAATTCAAGCATGATTAATATGGTAACATTTGGAAGTATAAGATGACTGCGTATGGTTCAAATGTATATAGTTTTTTTATGTTTAGGCACCTACCTCATTCTGTGGAACTCTAGTTTAAGGCATAGTTTTAAGTTCATTCAGTGAACACCAGTGGTGAAATAGTAGCCTCAGTTTTTACCTTTTCAGTATTAAACTGTTAAATGGAATGTGTTTACATTTTTAATTAACTTGCTATTGACTATAGAGAGAGTAGGCAATGTCAATGTTTTATGCAGGTTCTAAGTATTCCTATAAATTTGTAACTACAGTGTAAAACAGAATTTGTTCACAATTAGTTTCACAGATAAAATCTATTCTTTAATTTATTTGTTTTGTCTCAATAGTACAGTATAAGTATTTCTGCATTATAGTAATTTACGAGTTACTACTGGTGCAGTAGTGACTGTTACATTAAGAATAGTACAGCAATGATTAAAGCTACATAGGGAATAATTGTATCTTTTCTTTGTGCTTTTTGTGTAATTATTGCAGGTGTAGTGTTCAATTATACCTTCCTTTTTGTACCCAGAATTGAAGCATCAAGATGTCCTGATGTAGTTGTGGCAAAAATTGACCCAAAGAAATTGCGAAGGAATCAAACAGTGAATGTATCAGTAAGTATACTAATGTGGCATTTTAGCAATAAGCTACTGATTCCAACAGTTTACCTGCCAAGGAGAAATTAAACCTATCTTTTAACAAGTACATTACATGAATCTAAGAAAGCAGTGTACTTACATGCACTCCTTAGTCTTATTGCAACCATGTGAAAGTATTGCTATGGTTTGATAAAATGTGCAGGTCAGAGAACCCCATTGAAAATAAGTGTTCTGAAATCTCTGTTTCTGTGAACTATCTCACCTCAATAACAATCTAATAAAGGAATTTGTCAATAGACTTTAAATGGTGTTGTTTTGGGCTCTTGAGTTACTATCAGAAATATTTTGGTCCCGTTGTCACAGAATTAGAATTTTGAATGTCTGGGTAAAATCCTGGATTTTTTCCTATTCATTCATTGTTAATGTATTCGTACACGATGAGTCTTTGGGTTTTATGAGAAGTGGTTATTTTCCTCATGTGAGTGTTATTATGCTTAAGTAACTTTAAAAACTATATTTGACAAGTGATTCCTGCCCATTTGTTTCCTGTTCTATTGTTCCAGGTAACAACATCATTGCCACAGCAAAATACGGACTCATTGCTTGTTATTTTCTTCCTCCTTTCACTCCTCACCCTCTCGGTTCCCACTCACTCCTCCTTTCTGCTCACTCCTCCCCCTCTTAACTCAAAGCACTGAGTCAATTTGAGGTATCATTCTGCAGGCAGCAGCAGTCTGTCAGTAACCTGGAGGAAGATTTTTTTCCCTCCTTATTTTGCAGAAATGCTATTTAAACCTCAAAGGCTTAAAGTACAGTGTAACTATTTCACAGTCTTGTCACGTGGTTGCATATTCTGGCTATTTATCATATTTCCATTTATATTTTAGCTTTCGGGATGTCAGCCTGCTCCTGTAGGATTGTCTCCTAGTCTCAGATGGCAACAACAACAAGTGGCCAATTTTTCAGTCCTTCGACGGGTAATTATTTTATTTATTTTTTTATCTCATTAATAAAAATATTTTTTAACGGTGCCACGTCTACAGAAATATTCACTGGTGCATGTCTAATGAAATCACCGAAAGAGTCCATCAAAGCAAAAAGCAGCAGTCATTTACCACTCATCAGATAATGTCAGATTTAAGATGGTATATAGCAAGTGCAAAGACAAGGATTATTATATCTGGCTTAATAAAGAAGCAAGTTAATTATTTTGAATGTGTGTGTTGAAGTCTGACTTATTGATTCATATCTTCCTTTTTGAGTATTCTATTTGGTCCTTTCTGCAGTAAAATTGCAGATAGTGTAATTCTAGGGTATGGTGTTTGAAGGTCTCATTGCACAATTCTTGCTGTAAAATATAGCTCGCTTAAGTATTTTATATGATGTTTGTAGTATCACATGCTGTGTCACACGGGACTGTACATTATTCCACCATGCAGCCTTATTCTGATTTGAATGGTGAATCCTTTTGGCGACATGTTTCCAATATCAATACCCACTGCACGGCCGTCTTAGTGTTGCTTGGTGTAGAGATAAGTCGGCCGTAAACTGAGCGGTTTATTTACTGTTCTGCTAAGTAATCGTAACAATTGATTTGGTCCACCTGTAGATTGGTTGGTTCGAGCGATATAAAGATGGCCTATTTATGACAATGACCTGCTGTTAGTATAACAGCAGGTTTCTTTCAAGTGTTCCTTACATCTTCATAGAATCATTAGAATTATACAGCACAGAAGGAGGCCATTCGGCCCATTGTGTCTGTGCTGGCTCTTTTAAAAGAGCTATCCAAATCAATCCCACTCCCCTGCTCTCTTCCCATAGCCCTGCAAACTTGTCCTCCCCAAATATTTATCTTGCTAGTGAATGTTGCATCTTGGGCTCTAATCCTATTTTTCCATTTGGCCACATCACATTTAAACCAGATGTTTAGGTTGCAACTTCTAGCAACAGTGTTCGAATAGAGATGACTGTTGTACCCCAGAATTTTTTTTTAATTTGCAAAAGACACAGATTAAAAGCATTTCACAAAGTAGTGCTGCTCCAACCCAAATTGCCTTTTTATTGAAACATTATTATTTCCCTTGCATTATACATTCTTTAGTTACAGCCGTTCTGTAACTCGCAGTATAGCTTAGGGTCAGCAGGGTTTTGTCTGTCACTTACAATCATAGCAGAATGCTCTTTCACCATTTTTAATTTCTTCTGACCTGTGTCATTGCTCTGTACCTGGTACCCGATTGTGCCCTGACCTTTCTTCACTCACTCTGTCTTGCTCCATTATGTCTCCCATCTCTACTGTACTCTTTTATCTCATCCATTCTATCTTTTACTTATTTTTTTCAACTGCCATTCAAACACAACTGTTTGTTTTATCTCCTGTTTTTATTCCTCTCTATTGCGCCTTCTCCCCAAATAATATACTCTCCCTCGCTTCTCTCCAAAGCTCTCGAGAGGTGCATCAATGCAACTTCTCTGCCTTCAGGGTCCAAATCCGTGACTGTCCAGCACCTTCCTCTCGACTTGAAAGGCGCTATACAAATTTAATGCCTCCAAACAGTAACTGCTGCCCCATTTTCGCCTTTGCACAAGTACTGACCAGACAGGGAACGTCCAGCAATGTTTTTGTTACTGCGCATCGTTTAGAAAAATGGAGTGTGTTATTGGTTTACAACTAAAAGGTTGAATTTAACAGTAATAAAATGATCCACTAATAAAGGTGCTCATTTGATCCTAACTAATAATCCTTCAGATAAACATTGGTCATTTCATGGCTGTTTGAGTGACATTGCAATGAGCAAATTGGCTGCCGCATTCATCTATAATACACAGTAACTACACTTCTTTTGTGATGAGTTTTGAAATATTCTTGACATTATAAGGAATCTATCAAATGCAAGAATCGTCATTAATAATAATAATCCTTGCATTTGATATAGCACTTTTCACGTGGGAGGACATCCCAAAGCGCTTTACAGAATATACTGTAAAGTGAATTGACTGTATATTTGTGGGCGAACGCGGCAGCTAATTGTGCACAGCAATGTCCCACAAACAGTCATGGATTGAAAATGACCAATTTATTATTGTTTTTTTTGTTTTTGGAGGGATTATTATTAGGCGTGTGGAGTAAGGAAGCTTGCCCAAGGTTTTGCCCTGCCTGGAATTGAACTCAGGTCTCTCACTTGCAAAGCGAGTGCTCTAACCACTGAGCTACAGGACTCCACATTAACTACTTGAGACCAATTAAAATAGGAAATGTAAATAAGGATAAAACAAATAAAAAGTAAAATCCATATAGACTTCAGGTCACTGCAAACACGTACGGGGAAGGCTTTTAATGTTTTAAAATTCAGTCAGTTGATTTGTTTTTTTTAATGCCTTACAGTGATCAAAGCTGTACAAGAGTTATGCAATGATTTCTGTATATTTATATACAGAAAAGACCATGAGATCAAAAGTGAAATTGGGCTAGCTGAATTTGGGGATCACGTACAGCTGAATTTGGGGATCTGGACTAAAGAGATTTGAAAGAATACACGGAGAAGGCTCACAAAGTCGATGTTTGTGAGCCATATCGGAATATCTGTCATCTCTTTGCGGGGGAAGGGTTAAAGCTCCGATGTTTGTTTTTAAACCAGAAATAATAGACCTTGATGTTGGAGTGCTTCTAGCTATTAATCTGTACTCATTGAAAGAGCACTGCAGTATCTTAAAATGATGACGAGGTGGTATGGGATTTCAGTGCTCAGCCCCAAACACTTTGAGATGCCCTCCTGATGTGAAAGGAGCTGTATAATGTAAATTGTATTGCTGAACTGCAATTGTATTGCAATTGGTGAGTGTTGGGCTGAAATAAAATTCTTAAAATGTTATGGCACCTGAATGGCCATTCTTGACAATTTTTTTTGTTCTTGTCACTCAGAGGATTCAGTACAATGCTGCTTCATTTCAGTATTTCACAACACATTCTCTTTTGTCTCTAGAGTATAGACAGATATAGGGACCACTGGAAGTCGCAGCCTCTAGACGCTAATGTATTGCTGGTAAGTGGTGTATGCCTTTCGAGCAATGAGTACAGATTAACAGCTTTTTTGTGGGTGAGCCGAAGAGTTTCATTGACTACAGCCATGACTGAACTATTGCCAGTGAACGATAATATCTGGAAAGACAATGATTGCTTAATTGAAAAAAACCAAATTACATGAAGACTTTTTTTTAAATCACTAATGTACTGTGGCAGATTAAGGACAGATTAATTACTATGTTTCGATTGGATTTTTTCAAAAATGGATTGGGTCTTTAAAATCGAGACCACATAAACAAACCAGCATTAACATAGTTATAAAATGATACAGCACGATAAAAGCTCTCATCAATTCTAAGTGTATTCAGCAGTCACAAAACATGCATATTTTTCTTCTTAATTTTAATCCTCAAGCATTCTTTTCTCACCATATTAAATGTCTGCTTACTGCATAAGGCAAAGGTTAAAGCTGAAATTTATACACTGGAATTCGTTTAATTGATTATCTGCATCTTATTAGTTACCAAAAACTATTGTTCAGCAGTATATTGCTGCCATCTAGTGACTCTCAACAAATTATCTCCTACAGCTCGTGATGCTTAAAATAGTTTTTCTAAGGACACATTGATTTCAAGCATATAAATCGACAGACTATTAAAGTCACATCTGCAACCGATTCTCATACTATAAACAGAAAACTATTTGAAACAAATTGAACTCTCTAATGTATTGTCAAAGGCCACAATCCCAACCAACGCCTTGACATGTCTTTTAATAGCTTTCTCTTGCCACCTTTTACTGGGAGACCAAGATTGTGAACAGCACCAGCACTGAATTCCATTGCAGTCAACATCCCACAGCTTCACAAGATGCTAGAAATACTAAACATAAGACATGGAGCAATAAGAACCTTAGACATGGAGCCTTTTGTCACCCCCATTCATTCCATAAACCATACTAAGCCTATTTTGTCTAAATCACTCCCTTATATTAAATGAATATTAAGATATGTCTGCTGCTGTTTTGCGGAACCCGGTTACACCTAAGGGCTTTGATGCTGCTGCTTCATGCAATGCATTGTGCAAAGAATGGCCTACTTGCAGCTAGCTTGAATCCTGTAACTGGTGTGAAATTTCCCATAATATATTCTGACAAGCTGATTTATCTTTGCCCCCTTACTCCTCTATCAAAGTGCCTTCTCTGGGTAAAAGGTTCACGGTTGCCAGCAGTCTACTACCTTGATCAAGTTGTAGTCCTTTATTCACGAGGACCAACATTTGACTCAATCATGGCAGGCATTGCAACCAAGCCCAATGTTGAAGCATCTTACTGGTGTAACTTTCCAACACTGGAAACTAATTGGGAGATGGAAATCTAGCTAATTTTTTTCCCTTTTTCCCCCTCGTCCATGGATTGGACAACAACTCCGTCAGCTGAAAAGGTTACGAAACAGACCAGGAATATAACCTGGAAGCTTTGTCTATATGGCTAGTGCAGCCTTTACCCACTGGGACTTGAATGTTTCCAACTGATTTCATTTTTAATAACTTAAATTTCGGTGGAGTGTTCTGTAGAACATAGATCTGCCAAAGAGATCTCGACTTTCTTGCAAGGCATTGAATGAAAAGCAATAAGATACTCCTGGTGGAGAAAATTGCTGTGTTATAAGCTTGGTTTCTCCAACATAGGGCTCTGAATGGATTGAGAGGATTTTTGAGTAAACCTTTAAAAATGTGCATCTTTTTTGCAATGCGAGAGATTCCTCTTTTAAAATGTTGAGACATTTTTCTGAATTAATTGAAATTCCTTGTTGGTCCTCAGCCAAGACCGGAGGATGAAGAAGGATGGAAAAAATTCTGTCTAGGGGAGAAATTATATTGCTGCTCATCTTTATCCCAGATCATCAACAAAACTGATTGCCCGGGAATTGACTATGTGCAGGTAAATCTTTGTTTTCATTGTTTTGTAATTAAAGATAGGGCAAACGGATATAAAATTCAAAAGGAAATTAGCTAGCTCTGTACAGCTGTCTTCAAGCTAATGTATAAGATGAAACATTTGAGCAAAAAAAGGAGTAAAGATCCTGAAGTGTAGCTATTTATTTGCTCTCATGCCTCCAATTCAAATAGGACTTGGTTTGTCTTAAATGTTTTTTCAGAAGGATGAAGGGATTTGAAAATGAGGGGGGAAGCAAAGGGTCTGGGAAAGGCGGGGAGACGTTCCAGGATGCAGGGGAAGAGAGGATCATGGATGGGGGGTATCAGAAATTCAGAGACTTTGGAGGTTCGGGGATGAGGGATGGGGGGATTAGGGGAAAGTGCAGGATAGGGAGGTATAGGTCAGGGAGCGGGGGCGCGAATGTTCAGGATGGAGGGATGAAGGGTTGGAGTTGGGGTTCAGAATTGCCTGTTTCATCATCATACTAATTTGCTAATTATGTTGTGTGATTAAACAAGGCAGACATTTGTGGACAGCTTTGCCAATCAATGCTACTTTTAGTGAATTCAACATCATAAATAATGCAAGGCAATTGTGCTTTTGTTTTTTTTAGCATTTCAGGAAACATACAACTGACCTTGATCTTATTAATGGCTCTAAGTTTTACCAGTGCTCATCAAGCTAACCAGCAGATGGGTCCAAATAATCCAGCACATCAGTCGAGTCCAATTTATGATTGAAAACTTCCAGATAAAATAGCTCTTTGATGAAGAGAGATAACGGGGCTAGCATCCCTCAACCCGACAGCTGCATGACCTTGACTATGCTGCCGATCTTGCACTGCTTGTCAAATGCAGAAGTGAATCAGGTGGCAGATTTGGATGCAGTTAGTTATTAAGGGCAAAAATATCGATTTGAAGGTCAGTATAAATTAAGATCGAGATCGTACAATTGAATGATCCGTTACCAGTGCTGTTTGAAAGCTGATGGTATTGAACATCAAGGGATATCCAACTAGTCTAATTGGGCAACAGTGTGTCTCGGGGTCAGTGAATAAAGTAGAAACCTGACTGTTGGACTGCATGCTGCTGAGGCTTCTGGTAAATTATTGAACATCTGGCACTAGCAACGCTTCAGCTTTTCAGCAAATCTGATCAGCCATTGCCAGCTGCTTACCGTTTTACTTTCTGGATCTAAGACCAGAATGTATGTCAAAAGCAAGACGACAGCCATCAGATGCTTTTGATATATTCTGTATAAGGCCGATCCTACAGACACAAGCCCATTGCGCTAAGAAGCTCTGCCATCCACCCACGTCAGGCAACCCAGGAGTACTGAAACTTATTCATCAGCATAAACTCAATGATTTGGCCAGTGTCAAAAAGGTTTCAATTTTTTTATGGCTGTTGACTTGATGAACCTGTCAGAAGTAGCTACAATAATGTAGCTATCAAAGGAAGTGATGGAAAACAATGCATTGCCATCGTGACTAAAGCTGTAATGTAGAGCTTTTTTCTGGTAAGTAATTTAAAATGAGGAAATGCTTGAAAGTATAGGGCAGATCAACATGAAATATAAAGAAATATAAGCTGTGTTAAATTACTGCTTTCCCCATTTTCTTGAGCAGTTCTTTCACTTGATTTCCATGTTCTTTGCTTAGGAAACAATTTGTCTATTTCCTTTTTCTTTTAAGACTTGAACCATAATAATGAATTTAATGCACCAAGTTTTAATTATTACAATGTCTGCTTCTCTTTCCAGATGGGATTTCCTCCTTTATTGAGTATTGTCAGCAGGATGAGTCAGGTATGTGCTTCTTTTGTTTTTAAAAAAAATAATGTGTCTCAACCATATTTCTGTGCATTTTTCAGTTTATTGCAAACTTTATACCGCAGTTATCAAACTGCCTACTGCAAAAATAGCCCAGCTCGTTCCTCCCTCTTTATCCATCTCTACTGAAAGTGGTACACAAAGCCTTTAAATAATGACAGTGCTCTCCTTCCCTCGCCCACACACATACACTAACCTTGCATAAGTGACATAAGTTTTTTTGTTAAAACCACACAAGGTGATCCCAGTTAAACCCAACTTTGCTGCACACACATTGTCAACAGAGGCTACTCAACAATAAGCAGAAGTAACATTTTGATGTAGTTTAATTTCTCAAGTCTAGGGTCACTGAGAAGTTGTAAGATCCACATTGCTGATCCAGTACAGGCCAGGTTGAACTAAGGGCTTTTATGATCTGTATGGCTCAGTACTACATCCTGTGAGCATTGAAACGTGCAATTGTACAAACCTACTATCCTTGTGATGAATAACCACAAAGCAGCTATTTGTTTTCCATCTTGGGTGGTGGGCTCGACTTTTGGTGGGAATTTAAATGAGTTGCCATTAATATCCACTCATACATTGTATATACCATTCTATTGATAGTACAGTAGCAGGAGTGCACGCAAGGGTTTATATTACATAGATTTTAGCTATTTTTCTCATGTATCAAAGTCTGCACAATATTCTGTCAATCGCAGTGCTAAATTTATAATGGTGAGCCCCATTAAATGTGACCTGGGATGTATTGCATGAGGGAGTGTTCAATATCGTGGTTAATGATTGTTGTTAATATTAAATAATTTTCATTGCATTTTGTGATGTTCTGACTGCATAACAGTGGTAACAAACACTCCTAGAATTTCTTAATGAGTGTCTGCTCCAAATTGCAATATTTTATTAACATTTTAATCCTCATCTGAAATATTTTACAATGGTTCTGTTAAAGCTCTTGCAATTAGTTTCAACTAGAAGTGAAACTGATATTAGGAGCAATGTTCCTTATAGAATGGAGCACTTTAGGTAGATGCTTGTTTGTGTGCTAAACAACTAAAAGTTTCTAAATTGCTTTCAGTCTACAATTTTGGTCGTATTGGAATATCTGGTTAACTGGTTTGGTGATAAGGAGTTTCACCCTGAACTAGTAAGTGAATATTTTAGTAAAATGGCATTTTAAGGTTTTATTTGTTATCTTGTTTATTGTTACGAACGAATATTTTTGCTAAATATTCAATGTCTTTTTATTTTTAACACGTTTTCCCTATTACCCCCTCTTCTGAAGGAATTAAATTCTGTTCCTTTTACACAGCGAGAGTGTCAGATTCTGGTCACCCAAGTGACTGTTATTTAGGTACGAGTCTCAGCCAATGAGTTACTGCAGGGTGAGCTGAGCCCAATCCTCCCTTCACTCATCACGCCTCGCAAGTGAGAGACCTAGGTTCTATTTCCAGCAATGCAAAATGTTGTGAATGTTTCCTTACTCCACACACCCCTGTTTACTGAGCAGTAGGTAGGAACCTGGTTGTTGGTTGTTAGTCAATTGGCTGATCGCTTTTCCAGAGATGATGATAATACCAAACAAAAAACAAATAATAATAATTTGGTCACTTAATGCACGACTGTTTGTGGGACACTGCTGTGTGCAATTGGCTGCCGTGTTTCCTCCACAAATATACAGTCAATTCACTTTACAGTATATTCTGTGAAGCGCTTTGAGACATCTAGAAGACGTGAAAGACGTGGAGTCCTGTAACTCAGTGGTTAGAGTACTCGCTTTGCAAGTGAGAGACCTGAGTTCAGTTCCAGGCAGGGTGAAACCTTGGGCAAGTTTCCTTACTCCACACGCCTAATAATAATCCCTCCAAAACCCAAAACAATAATAAATTGGTCATTTTCAATCTACGACTGTTTGTGAGACATTGCTGTGCGCAATTGGCTGCCGCGTTCGCCCACAAATATACTGTCAATTCACTTTACAGTGTGTTCTGTGAAGCGCTTTGGGACGTCCTCCCGACGTGAAAAGCACTATATCAAATGCAAGGATTATTATTATCACCACAAATGACTTTGCAGCAGAAGTGATCATAGATGGAAGCCCTCATTTGTCCCGCTGTAAAACAATTGTAGCAATTCAATTGCTTTCCTGATCAGCCAAGCATAGCTGGCTTGTAACATACTGATCTGTATGACTTAGTAATGTACATTTTTATGTTAGCTTTTGACATGGTGATGCTTTTATTCACTAACCTAGCCACAATTTTTCTTATAATCTTAAAATGTAGGTGTAGCAAAATACATTTATTTTAAAGTGCTACTTCAGCATCAAGAAAGTTATTTTCCCTTGAAAGTAAGGTGAGGTAATCATTATTTGCCTCCTCCCATCCACTCTCTTCTTTAGTTTGTTGCATTGGTTTAAAAAAGTATATAATTTCCTGGAGAGCCAAAGGCTCTGTGAGTGAATAATTGTTGCGTATATTTTTATGGTAGCTTTTTGATATTCAATTTTTCTTCTAGGGTAGATGGTTATATGGCCTGCTGGCCTGCTTAGAAAAACCACTACTGCCCGAGGCACATTCTCTTCTTCGACAGCTGGCTAGAAGGTGCTCTGAAGTTCGTGCTAAACTCGTAAGCCAATTACTCTGTTAAACGGCGTGTAAAATGCCTGCAATTTTAACAGCTGTGTTCTGTCTATTCATCCTCTTTGCTCCATCTTGTGGCTGAAGTAAATAATTTTCACATAGACGTGTGAGTCAAAGCCTTATTTACCTCTGAATAAACATTGTTTTCTTAAAATGGCCGATATGTACCAAGTCAAAATGTCTTGCTCTAACGCAAAGACTTGTATCCAATTTTAGAAAGGGTTAGCTCAGCGCTGTTTTTTTAAAAAAAACACTATTTTAAGTTTCCCTAGCCATAGATGGGTAGCAGGATGCCTGCAAGATTGTTACTCTGAAACCAGCAAAAAGGTACACAAGATGATCCCAGGATGATACTCCCTTTGATCTGCACTTCCCAGTGAGGAAGCATCCAGCCTCTCCAGTATTCCTTCCCATTGCGCATGCCAGATTGGGAAATTGACACATGTTGTATGGGGAGTACAGTAAAAACTTGACTTTTATTAGTCCAGGTACTGCAATTACTATACAAGTTATTTTATAGATTACTAGTCAATACCATCAGATATAGGAAAGTAGCAGCTAGAAGAGTGAAACCAAGGCACTATTCCAGAGTTGCTGACAACAATTAATGAAAGCTTGAAAATCATTTTCTCTCTTTGTTTTCTAGGAAAATCCAGAGGACGCAGGACTATCAGCATTGAATTTACTCATTTGTTTAGTTGCCAGGTATTTGACAACGTTCTTTTTACTCCCATCTCTCCACGTACAATAATCTGGCATTGATGATAGAGTTGGTAATATTGTGATTTATCCAATTTTAAGCACAGGAATAATTTTTTTAAACCCTGCTACTGCTGCCATTTTAAATATGAAAAAACGAGGGGAACCTCCAGTTTTGAGGCAACAAGCTCTAGGCACAAGCATGGGTCAAACTGTCCAGGCTGGTGAATAGTTTAATCCTAGACCAGGATAGTGTTTGGTACACTTGATGTTACAAGTATTGTATTTTACTTTATTTGGTTTATTTATGTTTTTGATGGTTTGATTGTGCTTTATTTTTCAGGTATTTTGAACAGAGTGACTTGGCGGATAATAATTGACCTGGTTGGAAGATTTCAAGAACCAGAGCTGAATCTATCATTTTAAATCTGGTCTTGTGCTTAACTTTTTTTACACACAAGTTCACTCATTTTTATTTCCTTGACACAAATTTAAACATCTTTCCTCAATAACAGGTTTCAGAATATTAAACTGTCCAGAAGAAGGAGGTACAAATCCACAAAATGACTATTTAGAAGTAACTGACATCAGTATTAGAATGACTGATTTTTGATTTAAGTACTATTTTTACATGAAGTGGTCTGGATCTGATTTCAGTGTCAAATTTTTTTTAAGAAATAAACTTATTTTAAAAAAATTCGACTGAATATTGAATTGAGTGTATGTCACGTGTTGCCTATACATTACAGTTACTACACTTTGCAGTAAATCCTGTGAAGTGCTTTGATCCATCACCCCGGTATGAAATGTTTTATGAAATACAAGTCTTTTTTAAAATTTCGTAATTTTAGGATTTGTAATTGAATCTGGTAACTTGTTAAAAGCCAAGGAATTAAATAATTATGTTTAAGATTCTGTGTTCACCAATAATGCTCAGTTAAAGTAATGTAGTATAAAATAATGCAGTATTTGATTTAAAACAAATGGTTAGGAGTTTTATATTGTCTTGATCTGCGTAATGCATGGAGGAAGAGAGAAAATTAAATGAAGTGATTTGATGAAATGTTCTTCTAAAGTATCTAAACTCTGAATTGATGCTAAATTTTATTATGATGTCTCAACACTAATGTTCCAAAAATGTGGTCCTTTAGGAGTATGGGATTTCATATTACAAAATAGTATACAATTCATCATTGATTAGCACTGTTGCCACATTTAATATTCCAATCACATAATTGATATGAAGTTGTCCTTGTTTCAAGAGCTCAGATCCTGCCACTGATGAGGTCAAATATCCCTGTTTACACCACATTAGCAGTAAGACTAACAGAAGAAATGGTAAGTCACCAACGTTTGATTGTTTGACTCTTACCCAATAATTTATACCATAGAGTTTGCAGCTCAAATAATGCTTCATAGCAATACTATGAACAGCTTTTTGCCCACAAATGTTTTGTACTAGCATAATTTGTAGATTAGCATGATTTGTGTATTGAATTTATATTTTAATAATTTAATAATCCTTGCATTTGAGATGTCCTCCTGACAGAAAGGGCCTATACCAAATGCAAGGATTATTTAATATGTAATTTTTATGTTTAGGTAGTGCCTCAATTATACTGTAAAATATAGTGACCGTAGGTTAATTTGGGAGCCAATTTGAGTACAGCAATGTCCCAACAAATAGCCATGAAGAGATTGATCATTTTGTTCTGGGGAAATATTAAATGCTGAGAATGTTGTTTGGCATGAAGAATTGAAATACTTATTTCATGAAGCTTGATAAAATCTTCAGTTAACTACGAAGTATGTAACAATGTATAAAATAGCCCAGTATAGTTTAATTGATATGGTAACATTGTTATCCAGCATCTGATTTATTTTTCTATTGCTGTCTATCAAAGTATTTCAGTGATAAATAGCTTTCCCTTTGGTCCCTAATTGCACTTGATTCAGATGTCTCGCGTGTAATCAGGAATGCTGTTTGAATTTACTCGGAACAAAAATATAATCGCATTCTTAGTTCAACATTTAACTTTTTAATCTATTTACCCAATTGAATAGCACACATACATACATTTACTTTGCCCTGAGGCTTTTTATAATGATCGCTCTACAGCACAGTATCTGGTTAAATCCCTTCAAAGACTGCAGGAGAGTTTCTGTATTCAAGTACATTAACAATTTAAATGCCGTGAATTACCAATGTTCCGTACATCCAATTTTCCATGAAGGAGCAATTCGGATTAGAGCATGCAGGATTTGAGAATTGCATTCAGTGCTGCATTTTGACCTATGCAGACATGATTTTAATACAATATTAGCCACACATTACAAGCCCCCAATCAGGTTGAACTGGAGTATATTCATTTACTCTTAAAATGACTGTCACCACTTCACAAATCTCCCTTACCTCTCTTGAGTATCCTGGGATCCAAAGGGATTTATTAGTATTCAGCCTCTTCGATCCCTGCCTTGTCAAAGTCCCTCTACTGTGCTGTAGAGGATGTCAAAGTCTTTTAAGTTCACATAAAGATGTGTTGGATGTTTAAAGCTTTATTTTCCCCGAAAAACGTTGTTCAATATTATTTCTTGTTTATCATCATTAAAAAAAATTCTGATCAAACACTCAATGTGGAGTGATGCTAAGATCCTGGAAATGTCTTTGGAATGTAGATCAAGTGGTTACATTTTCTTCAACCAGCTGTTGATTGGAGAGAAATTCTGGCAAACTTCTCAAGTAATTAAATACTTAGGGCAAACCAAACTAACAATTCCACGTGGGGCCAAAGATGCTCCGCGTAATAAATCGATTGGAAAATAATGTTAAGTCAGAGAGCAATATTTGAGACATCTGGATGAAAACACAGGATTGTTCTGGGAAAATAAATTATTGGAATGTTTCAAAGTAGTATATTAAGTCATTATTCAATTAAGTATTCTAGCACTGTGCTCAAATATTGTATAATAATTAAACCAAATTCTTCCAGCCTTATTTAATAAAGGAAACCTTAAAATGCCAGTCATGCTATTTGTTTTCAGACCTCAAATGGTACAAGTATTAAAAAAAAAAGCTGCTTGGCACTGTTCTGGAGGTTTATATTTGAAGATCAATTGTCCAATATTTTAATGTAAAAAATAACAGCACCCAATTTTCATTTCTCATGTTTTATTGATCATTGCTTCAATTCACTATATTCAGCAAAACATTACATTAACACTTCAAAATAAATAACAGTATCCACTTTGTCCAGTACATGTTGGTGTGCTAATACATTAAGCTGGTGAACATCCACTGTACTGAGCAAAGAAAGACTATAAATCAGTGATTAGTTAAATATTCAGAATGCTTTCAGTATTCTTTGAAATGTATTTGGACAATTCTGATCCAATCAGAATTACTGTTTGCAATTATTGTCCCTTTTGCTGAAATCACAAATATTTTCAATAATCCTCCTCAACATATCTTATTGTCACTCATCATTAATGCCAGTCCTCTCTCCGTTCCAACAGACACACAAATTATCCTGTTTGTTAGATGCAAGCGTTACAGCCCCCTCTAAATGAAGGCAGTATCCCCACAAATCCTGGTACTGCAAAAATGAACAATGCACTCAGTGATAAATTATTTTAAAGTCATTTCATGAGTAATATTTATCCCAAGGAATCATCACTGACAAAATCCTATTAGTAGCATTTGCTTATACATATGGTCACTTGAGATGGCTAGCAAAGTGCAAACAGGAGCCCATTATTTTATTCTGGTTGGATGAGCACAAGCATGCAACACTGACTACACGTTGCAAATTAAAATGAAGGGATAGATATTGCCAGTTATTAGATTTCAGAAAATGTGCTCTTTTGTTCCCCTTAAAATAATTAATACCAACTGACTGCAGGATTTGCAACATGGAATTTTAACATCCTCGATGCCCCAAGTTAAACAAATCGTCAAACATAGTTATAAATCAGTTCTTATCCAATTCTCCCTTCTCCCAAATATTCACATGCAGAGTTATACACATGCCTGGTCACAAAAAGGAATGAATCAATGAATTCTGCCCATTTAGATGTACATGTGAAAAATTTCCATGGGTCAATAATTTTAAATTTAATGTGACCTGTATATTTTCAGTCAGAGAAAAATTGTGTAGAAGGCAGTGAAATGGAATTGCACCCCAAGAAAAATCAGTTGAAAGAAGTGGGTTTCTCGCCCCTTAAAAGTGCAAAACAGCATCTTAAAATGAGACCTTTTTAAAGAAAGAAATGGTTCCCTAAACATATACCACCAAATGTTGATTGCATGCTGAAAACCAACAGTCCAAATTCTATTTCACTAACATAAGGCAAAGCTTTAATCTGCCAATTATGTTATTACTCTAGTGGTCCACACACACCCATTGTGTAAAGCATCCATTTCTAAAATCTCAACAATTCTCAAACCTAAGTTTATAGCTAAAGAGGTGATTTTGTTTTTAAAAATACAAACATTAAAAATAAACAAAATATGATATACTGTAATGCTGTTTTATGGAATATTATGAAATACTTTCATGGTTTTAAATATGTTTTCAAGAATACTTCATTTGTGCTTACAGACATCTTCTACAACTTTTGTATCATTACTTGGAATTTGCCTGCAAAAAAAACAATATCCACGTTTATAATCAAAACACAGAAACAGGTGACATTTCAAGCATTCAGTTAAATTTCAAATTAAGTTTTGCAACTGAATATAAATGCAAATGCAATAAGATTTGAATGTTTGTAGCAAACAATATAAATGTTCCTATTCGTTTATTAACTTTCAGAAGAAAAAGAAAAATTCATTGCACATGGTAACTAGGGATAATGGAGGACTCCCAAGCTGAGTGTTGGCAGTTTGAGTCAAACTGTAGATCAAGTCCCTTTGTATTATGTGTGCTCCACTATTGCCACTGCTGCCACTGGCAGCTAACATCATACAATGTTGTAGTTCAGCTGTTATATAAGGGCATGTTAAATTATAAAGCAAACTGTTTTTATCATTTTGCCAACCTCCCAGTCAAAAAGGCAAGCACTGTGCTGTCAGACAGCTCCAGTACTGTATCTGCAGGGTGGAGGGAAACTGGAGAAAGCTGGCAAGACTAGTTAACATGTTGGAGAGTTGATCTGAAAGCCAGATTGACAACCCATATGGAGAGACATTTAGCCCTTGCCAGCTTGCTTTTTAACTGATGGAAAATAGTGACAAGTAAAAGAAACTCATCAATTGTAAAGAAGTCTTTACAGATTATAAAAGGGAAGAATTAAAAATACTTATGTTCAGCATTTAAGTTAATAGAACCAACTGATGCAGCTTCAGATTTTTTTAATGGGCTACTCACTTTGTTACCTGCTTGACTCACACATTTTGAAATTTGGAGAGATTTCTCACTCCCCCCCCCCGTCATTTAGAATATGCTGAGCACTTTCCACTTCCTCATTTCACAGGCTCCACAAACAATACCCTCCTTTTGCACTCACCACCTCACTTACTTGTCATGGCTCCACATGGGTTTAAGGAACCTAATTTAGAAATGAGGCACTCTTCTCCCTGCCTGCCTGCCCCTAAGCCTGGCTGTTTCAACAAGCATGAGGGCATAATTACTGAGGTAAAAGACTATTCTTCATGACTCTCCCTCGGTTTGATACTATTTATTCTGTGGTGTTGCTCAGGTTACTACTATGACGGAGGCTTTATAATAATAATCCTTGCATTGATATAGCGCTTTTCACGTCTTCGAGAGGTCTCAAAGCACTTCACAGAATAGACTGTAAAGTGAATTGATCGTATATTTGTGGGTGAAACACGGCAGCCAATTGCGCGCAGCAGTGTCCCACAAACTGTCGTGGATTGAAAATGACCAATTTATTATTGTTTTGCTTTTGGAAGGATTATTATTAGGCGTGTGGAGTAAAGAAACTTGCCCAAGGTTTCGCCCTGCCTGGAATTGAACCCAGGTGTCTCGCTTGCAAGGTGAGTACTCTAACCACTGAGCTACAGGTCTAGGTCTTTCTTTCTAGGTCTTCGCTGCCAACTCTGTGCTCATTCCTATTGGGCCCCAATAATTCTAACATGACACCTTTTAAAAATAAACATGCACATAACTTACATGCAGGCATTGCTGCAACTTCCACTGTCACAATACTCTTAATTCCCAGGTTCGATAAGGCACCTCTCACCAGCCCACAAGTAAATGCCAAATACTAGAAGAAAAACACATTTCATGTTATGATGCAGAAAAACACAAACAGAGGGAGGCCATTCAGTCTATCGGTTGTTAATTACCCTCTGGGTAAAGGAAAACTTCTTGGTATCTGTTTTTAAGTTGTTCTTTACAACTCTAAGCCCATTTCCTCTTGTTAAATTGTCTTGGTACATCCTAAAGTACTGTTCCAGTTTTAGTTTTTCAATTTAATTTACGTTTGATAAACCTCTATAAAGGCCCTCTCTGAGACATTTCTCAAAACTGAAGAGTGGTGAATGATTGAGAAGGCAACAATTGCCATATAAAACCACTATAGCATTGGCTGGCATTTTCAAAGACATTGGTGAGTAAATACAATTTTCAGTTCATTCTGCTTGCACTTCTATTTTTCCCTGAACATTTTTTTCCAATTTATTAACAAACACAATAAAAAAAACTTAATTTCTAAAGGGCACACATCTCCTGCATTCACAATAATTTACCAAGCCGATTCAAAGGATTGCAGATTTCTGATTAGTTTTTTTTTAGCACCATTAACTCTGGATTGTGAGCAGTGAGTCATAAACTTGTAAAATGACAAAAAATATAATTATAAATTCTTCAAGGTTCAACTGTTACTATGTTTCTCTACTAGTGCCATATGATTTACTGCACTAGTTGAAAAGAGCATTGTACAGAATTGGTACTGTTACATGTGATGCATTAATTTAGGAAACATACTGGCTGCAGTTCTGATCTCAGAGAAAACCCCACATATTTTATCAGTTCTTCTGCACCATTATATTATTCACCAAGGCAGCTACAACTAGAACATCCTGGATGTTGCCCATATTTAGTGAATGAGCACATACTTCATTATCTACTTAACTATTAATGAATTCACTTTCACATCCTCCCAAGCTATTTTAAGCAATCCGAACTAGTAATTCGATTATGGGAATTGGTATAGTTTCTCCATTGGTCAAGAGTAATATTTGCTATGACAACAGCATATAATAAATAAATAAATAATTCTTGCAGCGCTTTAATTCACAGGATGTACTGTAAAGAGTAGTGGCTCTATATTTTGTAGGTGAATACGGACTTAAATGTATGAAAACTACAGATTTATCATTGTATTATATATTCTATATATAGTACATAAAATGAATATACGCATATGTTATATGGCATGCACTACCTACAGATTTAACACAAGTTAGTAAGGGAGAACTGCAGATTTCAAAAAGAGGGGCCACAGCATCTATGTTAAGTACACCACCACAAAGCTGAGGGTTTAATCTTTTTCAATAGTTTCTCAATCCCAAGTACCTTGTTTCTGCATACAGTTAATGTTCAATATCAAAGCAGCACACCTCTCTGACCTTCAATAAATGTTACATCAGTTCAGAAGGGTATTTTTATATTTTTCAAAATTTTAAATTTTGGGTTGATCTTAAAAGTAAGTTGTTTGACTGAAACCGTGGTATTCCTGTAGATGATATGCATTTTCTTTCTGCCTGTGCATCTGATGCTCAGTGTAGGTTTGTTTTGTTCCATCTACTGCTGACCTCTACAGGCCATACCAGGCTAAAACATCACTGCATTGCAGTACTGCTGTAATGATTTAGATGCAGTCGTAAAGTGGAATATAAACTCAAGAGTAAAGAGTACATTTAACTGAGGTTATTGAAACAAATGGCATTTCATTTCTGGATTATTTACTTAAAAAGTGATTTCCTTCTTTGCCAGGTCCCCAAAAAACTTTTTTTCAGAGCAGGTACACAAACTAACAAATATATACTCATCAACTTGGGAAGTCCTCCCAACATGTACAATTGTAATTTTCTATTGTATTTTATAAAGTGCATTATTATGCCTTAAACCCTCACTTCCACCCTAAAGGAGTGGGGGGGAGAATTATTTTAGCTTGTTCTATCAGCTAAGATGGAACACTTACATTTTCAAATGATTTGATTATTTTGTCTCTACTCGCAAGAAAATCAAAGATGTACCTTAGGTGCATGTTCCAAGTATTGCTTCCCTCCAGACATCGGAGTCAGGAGCCGGAACTTGTTGTCTTGGAGCACATAAATACCCTGCAACATTTCAAAGGAAGGCAATTGATCAAAAGGTTAAAAAGATCTGGGTGAATCACAATAGTAGTATATTTTAATCATATTGTATCAGTAATTAATTAAAACTACAAATAGAAATTAAGAATGCTTCCTACTAGATTAAACCAAACAAATTCTCATGGTTTGACGTTCGCTTACATAACACAGTTACTGCATTTTACAGTATATCCTGTGAAGTGCTTTGCAACGTGAAAGGCACTATTACCAAAGGAATTATTATAAGTCATATATATTTATACCTCCTTTTACAAAATGGCTTCTCAAGTTCTTCATTTTAATTTTTTAAATCAACAAAGGCTCGCATTTTTAAGGCACATGGAGTTAATCAACAACTAATGTAGTTACATTTCTAACCATTACCTGATGGTTGGTCCGAAGGTTATCAATCTGCTTTTTGAACACACTGGTCCAGAAATCTTTACAGATGAACTTCATGACATCCAGTTCATCTTTGAATCGTGCGGTATCTTTTGTAAACCTTTGATGAAACCGAACAACACTGAACATCCAACTATTTTATATTAATTGCAAATAATCAAGGTCTAAGCTTTTACCTATGCAACAGTCAAAAATGAATAATAATCCTTGCACTTGATATAGCACACTTTTCACAGGAGCAGATGCATGTACAGTACAGCAGGTTAGCCACAAATCTACTGAAGTTATTCCAAGTTCAAAATACTTCAGCGAGGGAGTCTCATCTTTAGAAGTATGATATATTAAACTTTTAAAGCATTCCACAACTTTGGAAGACAAACTGCAACATGACAGAAGAAACCAAAGCAATTTGTGTCTTTCAATAAGGTACAAGCCACAATGACTGCCCCATTTTTAGTATATGATAAAGAAAGCGGTTCCAATCATCTAACACAAATAAGTAAGACGTAATGGAAGTGAATGCTACTGACTACTATTATAGTAACAACAGTAGCAATATAGTAACAACTGACAAACTAACATAGAAGAATAATACAAATATACTCTTGTGTGAGGGGGGAGGAGGAGTTCAACAAATGTACACTGGATATTAATTAGATTGCTGATATTACAACCTGCCACTGTTTATCTTTATTTCCTTTCCACCAAGAATTTCTCATTTACAAGAATAGCACTTTTGTCTTCAACAGGGACTGGATTGGGACTCTTTAAGATGTTTAACTACAAAATCCAGAAACATTTAAAATTTCGACCAAATGTTTAATTTAAATTGCATTGTATTAATAATTGCAATTTAAAACACTTTCCCAAAGTATGCGTTTCCAGTGTTTTGAGCTGCACTTTAAACCAAACCATTACAATACAGATCAGAATACAGATCAAAGAAAGAACAGTAAACAAATGTGATATCAAAACCAATTCTTCAAAAACTATCATTGCTTGTTACCTTTCTATTAATCCTTGTCCTACTCTGAATCCCATGTTCTCCAACTTTGTGACGCATCTTCCACTTTCCTAAGATAAAATGAAACCTTTAGCTGATAAGAAACTGTTGACCAGAGCCAAAGTACAGAACATGTTCAGTTGTATTCCACACCTGCCAGTCATGAGCCCTTCTATCAGAACTCAGCAAGCAGAATTAAGAAACATTTTAAAACAAGAGGCAATCTGCTGTGACCTCGGTGGAAGTCAAGAGCTGTCTATTTAAGCTAACCTAGGGTGCCTGCTAAAAGAGTCAGATTTTAGAAGAAGCCTGTTTCAGTGGTTTGCTTTGCAGACTCCGCCGAATACAGAACTCAATTTTTAAAAAATGAGTAGTTAAGTTTAAGTCAAGTTAAATATTAACAGATATCAGTCTGCATACATCATATTGATTTAGGTTCAATACTTTACTCTTTGCTTTTACATGAACGACCAAGAGCTGCACTCTTGAATTCATTCACCAAGTTACAAGAATCACAAATAACACAGCTTTGTTCATTTCAATTTAAAGCTCCCAGACACCTTAATCTTTAACAAGATGTTCCTTACAAAATGTGTATCACCACATATAGGAGTTGATTTAAGCATTCCGAGATTCTATCCTGCATGAAAGGCGCATAATAAATGCAAGTTGTTGTTGTTGAGTCCACTGAAAAAAGGAGGCAGTGTTAAATTCTGATAGAATACAATTGAAAGTATCTGAGGTCCTAACTGAAAACCTTAAGAAACTAAAGATTTTTCTCAATTTCCCTAATAACCAAAGTATGGAAATGGAGCTATTTTGTAAAGTGCAGTGACATCTTTTTAACAAATTCCAGCTATGCCATTACAAAACTTTATCATCAAGACATAGTTGATTGAACATTTGTGACAGTTCAGTGAAAAAAATAAAAGCAGGCGAGTTATAGTTCGGTCACAAGCACTGTCAGTTTGACTTAAAGGTGCTGTGGTCTCAAGATTAATTGAAAATGATTTGTGCATAAACAACATGCCACACTGTACACTGCTTTAGAATAAGACTGACAACAACGGCAACAAAATTAGCCTGAAACAGAATATTGTACGAAGTGAATCATAATTAATGCCTTAGAATTAGGAAATAGGAAAGTAATTGCAAAGTGATTTCCGGCCATAATCTTTGGTGTTCAGAGACCTGTGAGATGCATTCCATGGTATAAAGCTAAGTTTTAACTTGTTTATGGTTTTAACTCCAATTCAATTCCCACCAGTATTTATACTACAGAAGGCTAAAACTGATGTATAATGCTACCAAACCCATCTTCTCAAGATGGCCTTAGAATTTGGATTCCAATTGATCTATTCTCAGATTGTGATGCTTAATTCCACTTTGTGCAACAAATTGCCATGGAAGTAATTGACCACCAAATGTGTAGTTTTAAGAAAGAACAAATCTAATCCTATTCATTTTACTGCTAGGAGCAACATCACTTGGCTATCAGCAGTATAAACTAGCCATGAAAGTCCTCAACCTGCAGCTCTTTCATAGCGTATAATAAACTGAATTACAATTTTTGTCTTTTGTTTAGTTTGATCAAACAAACCGTAATTTGTGTTTTTCTGCCAGGTGGCAAAGAAGGAGTTTATTTTCACAATAATCTAAACATTTCCAAAACACTATAATGTCTTTGTGGTTGGTTGGGCTTGATGGTTGAACAAAAAACGTAATAGAAAGATGTAATAGAAAAATAAAGGATTTATAACCAATATATTTCAAATGATGCTCGCCACTGGGAAAACTTTTTTGGGCAATAGTTCAGATCTACCCAGCACAAAAGGCAATATCATCTTGTAGCAAGTATTTTTGAGAATACATCACTACAGAAATAGAAAATAAATGTCAAATAAATATCTTGACTTCATAATGCTTTTTTTTAAAACAAAAGTGAAACCATTAACATATCTCTGTCTTAGCAGCCAAGTGTTCTTTCTTCCTGTTGACATTAAGGGGAAGTAGCACATCACCACACCAATTAACCACAACCCTGATTTTTTTAAGAAGCTTATATTTAGAAATCAGCTATCCAACATTTAAATATAATTTGACAACAAGGTAACATTTGCACTAATGTACAATATATTCAGTTGCTTCTTACAAATACGTTTTACAATAGACAGAACAAATTTCCACAGTAATGGATTTACTGTAAATGTATCAATTGTTCCTCATTTTGGCAGAAGGGATGTATTATTTTGGTCACAGTTCTGTACCTTCTTCTATTAAAAGTGGAAGTGTGAGTGTTTACGAAAGGCACTTAGCTTAGCCCTGCCATAAACAGGCGGAGGTAGATTCAGTCGACAAAACAGAATTTAAATACAGTGATAGGGGGGAGTTGGGGGGGGTCAACTCAAGCAGCTTTAATCTAAAGGAAACTCTTCTCAACAGGAGCTTAAATTTCGGCTTCTACATGTATTTGCACTTAAACAACCTCCTTCCTAATTCCGATTGAACGGTTTTCAGCCAAGTCACTTAAGTTTACGAGCGACAGAATGTCATTTTCAAAACGTCCAGACCTTTGCTGCGGGTGGTACAAACTGAAGCAGAGAGCTGACATCAGCCGTGCAATCCTTCAAACGAAACAAATAATAATAATAATCCTTGCATTTGATCCAGCCACATTACCACATCATTACGTCTCAAAGAGCTTCACAAAATATATATAATAATATATATATATAGTGAATTGACTTGTGCATTTTGTGGGCGAAAGGAAGCGAAGCAAAATGAAAAGGGAGGGAGAAGTGAAAGAGAAAGTTATTTACACCCAAACACTAAATCCCTGAGTATCTGTGGGTGAAGCTGAAGACTGGAGAGACATGAAAAGCAGAGAGACCCGCCGTCTGCTTCAGTCCATCAGTGCTTCTCTCCACGGGACAGGCCCGAGTGTAACCCCCGGGACAGGCTCGGGTGTAACCCCCGGGACAGGTTGGTGTAACCCCCGGGACAGGCCGGGGTGTAATCCCCGGGACAGGCCCGATCCTTACCATGTCTCCCTGCTCCGCCGCCTTGTACATGTAAGAGACCATCTCCATGTGCAGGAACTGGAAGAGAGCCTCGTCTGCCATGTCCTGTTTGTTCATCCCGCGGACATCAGTGTGTGTGTGTGTGTGGAGGGGGGCGCTGCGGCCGAGGAGGGAAGGCTGGGGCCTGGACAGGCAGCGGGTCGGTGGTGAGGAAGCCGCTGACAACGGCAGACACTCAGCCACAGACAACTCACCCTCACCCCCCCCCACACCCCCAGACTGACAGCTCTGATCCCGGGAGCCGTTACCCCGGCAACGCCGGGAGCTGTCACGCCCCTTCCGGTCCCGGTTGAAAGGGTATCTATCAGAGGCTCTGAAGAAGACCATTCAGTTGCTGGCGTTGAACTGACTGCGCCTCCAACATAACAATGATGATAATGATAATAATAATGATAATAATCCTTGCATTTGATAGAGCGCTTTTCGCGTCTTCTCGACGTCTCAAAGCGCTTCACGGAATATGCTGTCAAGTGAATCGACCGTGTATTTGTGGGCGAAACGACAATCATAATAATAATCATGTGGTCAAGGACCATCCCGACTGAATTATTTTATTAGCTGTTAGGACACTTTAAAATTAGACTGGTGTATGCTCGGTGCACACTGCCAAACAGTCATCTTTTCAGGCCAAAAAAACTGATCTTATCATTTATTCACCTATTAAAAAAATGCACACAATCACAGCACTTCATAATATATCCTGCGAAGTAATTTGAGACGTCTCAATGACACGTTGAGGTGTTTTACCAAGTGCAAGGATTATTACAATACAATTAGCCCAATATCAATAATTCAAGCAAGACTAGAAATTTTGAAGCAATTATCCCATTTGTTGTACATTGCTCTGAATGCCATTCACTCCTTCAATCATCTAATAGCAATAATAAATTGCAAGGTGCAGGAATACCAGGAGTTGCATCACCTCAGTCTTATTTTATGTCAAAATAAGCACTGGGTTGGAAAACTTCACGCTATCCATGTTGTCTCATTCATTAACATCTAAGCAAATAGCCCTCAAACATTAAATGTCAAAGCATTTAATTAAAACTTTGAAGCCGGTAAAGTGCTCCTGACAAGAGAAAGCTCTTACACTATATATCAGGAATGTAATAGTTAGCTTTATTACATTTGAACTGCTCAACTTTAAAGTAAATACTGTTGCGATCATGTCAATAGCCTATGTTAATGCAATATAATTTATAAAACTGTAAAGATATGATTATCAGATTGTGGGACTGAATCTGGTCTTTTGTCAGTCATATGAGTGAAATTAAATGGAAATTGACAGTGTGTATGCAACAGTAATTTCCATACAGTATATTTTCAAAACACAAAAAGAAGCCTAACCATTAGTGTTCATGAAGAGAATTGTAGGAATATTACTTATTAACTGGAGATTTAAGGAACTCATTTATAACAATATTCACAACAAAAATCTGCTGTGAATTCCACGTTTGGTCATATCATTATAGACAACTCCTTATTATTAAGTATTCAGTTGGGAAGATTTCCTCTATTAAATACAACAATCATAATTTGGTCGATCAGTCCGCAACCGTTTGTGGGCCACTGCTGTGCGCAATTGGCTGCCGCGTTTCGCCCACGAAATACACAGTCGAATCACTTTATGGGGTATCTTGCGAAGCCCTTTGGGACGTCGCAATGACGTGATCGGGCACTGTATCAAATAATAATACTAATACAAATAATGCAGGGATTATCACGATTGTTATTATCGTATTACTTTTTAGGTGTTTATCTAGATCCCTTTTGAAAGCTAAACAATGCATTCTGCCTCACAAGCAGTCAGTCGCCCAGTCAGTCAGTCAGTCAGTCAGTCGCCCAGTCAGTCAGTCAGTCAGTCAGTCGCCCAGTCAGTCAGTCAGTCGCCCAGTCAGTCAGACCACAGCCCAACCCAGTGCTGTACTTGGCTTCTTCGTGTCTACTTGTCTCGCCTCTCAACTTACCTTGAACGGAGTATCGCTCCTCGGCATTGGTCGGCTTCCATTGTGACGGATGAGCGCCGACCAGCACGTTGCTGTGCTCTGCCGACCGCCTCATGCCCCAGCGTGCTCTGCGCGTGCGCGGAGCCGGGGTAGTGGTGGGGGGTGGGGGCTGGACTGGTGAGGAGGAGGAGGAGGAGGAGGAAAAAGATGGCGGTGGTTGTGAGGGCTTTGCAGGATGAGCTGGAGAAGGCGAAAGAAAGTTTGAAGAACGTGGACGAGAATATCCGCAAGCTGACCGGGCGTGACCCGAACGATGTCAGGTGAGCGCCGCGGGAGGGAGGGAGGGAGGGAGGGAGCCAGGCCGCTCACCCCCCACCTCACCGCCTGCAGGAGGAGAGAGGACGAGGCGAGGGAAGGGGGAGTTGTGCCGCCCCGCGCTCTGTGTCTGTCTGTCTGTCTGTCTGTCTCTCCTCTCTCTCTCTCTCCGGCGCCTTTAATCTGGGTCGTGGAGGGAGCGGGGCCCCGGCGCCTCTCTCACACACACAGCCCTCGGCAAAGAGCCTTCCCTCACATGCCGCTCTTTCACCCCCACCCCCAGGCTGGCGCCTGCCGCGCTAGGCCTTCCCACACGCTGCTGCCGAGCGCTCGGGTGTCCTCAGTGGCCGCCTGGGTCAGCCAGGGGTGGGGTTGGTACTTTACCCCCTCCCTCCAGGCTGAGGAGTGAAGAATATCTCATAGTCCACAGGTCGACGGTTTGGTGGAAAGCGACTGCTCGAAGCTCATATTTTAAACCGTGTGATGGTGATAAAGAGAATTAGGGGGAAAAAAAAAGTTCCCCCCCCTCTCCCCTTCCCTTTTGGTATTCATTGCTTCCGCAGATATTTCCTCTCTGCAATTCTCTCGGTGTATTTCGTCCGTAATAACGTGACCAAACGCGGAATTCACGGCAGCTTTATTGTTGTAAATGTTGGTTAGAAACGACTGACGTAAATCTCCGGTTGTTAATATGTCCGCGATTCTCCTCCTTGGACATCTTGACGGTCGAGCCTCATTTCGTGTTTCCAAAAATAATTGTTTCGGTTGTGAAGGATGTGTGTCGTTCGTTAGAAACCACCAGCTAAAATGGTTTAGCTCCACTTGGATGTGAAACAACGCCTTGGCTCATGATTTTCAGCACGTGTGTTGTATGCATATGTGTGTGCAAACTGTGAGCAACCCCCCACAACCTGCATCTTGGGGTCTGGATAATGATAAATCTATCATTTGGCTTCACCTGAACTCGCATCGACTGCTTTGAAATGAGGCGCATCCTGGGTTTCATTTTGTACCTCAGCCGCCTGTTGAATTCAGGGGTGTTGCATTGAATGGTTGGGTTGATGTTGAATCTTGCACTTTTTAAATTTAGGAAATGGCGTAGCAAAGTGTGTGCTTTTAAAAACCTTGGTGGAGTGCTTGATGGTTTTAACGTAAGGCGTATATTTGTCTTGAAATGCAGACCTGGTCAAGCGAGGCGGCTATCCATCCCAGGCCCCGGAGGAGGTAGGGGGCGTGGAATTGGATTACTTCGGTAAGAATAAAATTGTTTGGGCTTCTATACATTCATTGTTTGCCTATTTAGCGTCTTATGAACTGTGAATTAGACAAAGTATTCGATATGTTTGACCTTGCTTATTTTTTCAAAATTTGTTATAAAGGTTAACTTTTTTAATGTACAAATTATAGCATAAGAAAACCTAAAAAGTAAAGTGATGCATTTTCAATTAAAACAATGATTAGCCGATAAATCAGTATTTGAAAAAGAGACAGATTTATCTTTCTAGTATGACCTTTCCTGATCGGAAGCTGAATCATTGTACGATACTCCTCATTACACTATTTTGTAATTTTTATCCTGTTAGATTTGAATACTAACTAGTGTATCAGGATTATTGCTCAACGTGAAAGGTCCTATCTAAATGCAATTTGTTATTGTTGGTGTATTCTGGAAAAGCTGAGAATTTTATTTTGCCTTGGAAAGGAAAATAATGTGAATGTGGTAGCATTAGTTGACTTGTTATTGCTATCTTACTAGACGTGGACTCTCAGATAGCGGAGGAGGACCCCCAGCTAAGCAGAGAGATTTGGAAGGGGCCATCAGCAGGTATGTGTATGTGGAATCGGTGCAGATAGGGGGTGATGGGGTCATGGGTGTAGTGCAGTGTTGGAGAAGATGCAAATGGCAAAGGTCTGGATGATATGGAGATCTGGAGGCAGACTGTTGCATGGCCTGTTTGGAAAATGTTTGAATGAGAACTGATTGGTAATCTGTATCTTCTTTAAACAGGCTGGGCGAACGTCGGTCTAGGAGAGAGTCACGTCAGGACAGCGACGCGGAGGATGATGATGATACAAAAAAGGTACAGCGTGTTTGTGTGACCGATGCTTGAGACTAGGTGGCGTTGGGCGCAAATCACGTTTGGTTTATTTAACCCTTTTGAGGTTTTAAAAATCCTCTGGAAATAGGTAAGACTTGGATAAACTAGTATCAGATAGGTCCAGATTAATCAAAGCCAATAGTTATCCAAGCAGGGCAAATTCCATATTGTACATATACAGGCTTTTTTTAAATTAGGTTTTGCACTGAATTGGATTTGTTATCTTTGCAGCCAGCGTTGCAGTCTTCTGTTGTTGCTACCTCCAAAGAAAGAACCCGCCGAGACCTTATACAAGATCAAACCATGGATGAAAAGGGAAAAGAAAGGTAACCGTTTATCTCTGGCTTCCCTTGGAATAGGTTAAGAAAGTACACCATGAAACTTTCATAATTAAAATCCACTTGGTGCAGTTTTGATGTAGCGGTCACTCAACTGATTAATTTGTACAGTTATTGGAAGAAATGCTGCATATGCAGGAGTTGAATATTGTATGTGCGATACTGGTTAAAACTATGGTGTAAGGAAAGTTGCCTCTCAAGTTTACAGTCAGCAAATAAATAATTGAAAGCAAGAGACCTATTAGAAACTTGTTATTTTCTCAATTATTACTACAATTGGGTGTTGCAACTATTAATTTGATTTAGGCATCAGTCATGGCAGGTTCTATAGTGTCGCAACTTCAAACCGCTGTTTTCTTATTGTTTCTTCCAGAACCTTTGACCAGTGGAATTTGACCCTGATAATTGCAACAGTTGTGAAGTTTCTTTTCTATGCATGCTGTAAATGTTAAAAATCCCTCAAAACCGTTAGTATTTATCAAGTTCCTGTTACTTGCAAAAAGCAGGAAAGGCAGTCTACAGTAGTTGTAATCGTTAGCCAAAACGTAGAGGAGGGCGATCCCATCTTTTGGCTGCTGAGGAGCAGATTTGAGAAAAATCCGCGGGCTGCATAAGCAGTATTTTTGTGATTCCCTTTCAGCAATACAGCCTGTAAAAATCATATAGCAATGCTTTGTTTTAAATTGGGTAACTATTACTTAATTTCATTACATTTTAATTGCAGTGCAAACTTTTTGGGGTCAGTTAGTGTCTGGCACATGCGGAAACTCATGACCATACTTAAAGAGTATCCAAACCAAGCTGAGGTTTCCATGCATCCCACAGACAGAGAGAAATACAAGCAATAGATTGTTGGAATGGAATGTGCACTCTCTCCCTGGAGGGACACATCTTGCTTACCTAATTCCGGAAAGTGTTGGGTGCAATGTTACGCCTGAACTGCAATTTTATAATAATATCCTTGCATTCTATATAGCGCCTTATCATGTCTTCGAGACATCTCAAATCGGTTCACAGAATTTACAACAACAACAAGATTTCATTTATAGAGCGCCTTTCACGTCGGGAGGACGTCCCAAGGCGCTGGACAGTTGGGTCAGGAGCAGGGGGGAAATGATCAGGGTGAGGGGAGGGGAGGGAAGGGAGGGAGCGAGGAGGGGGTAGAGAGTTGAGAGGGGAGCTGAAGGCACGGTCAAAGAGAAGGGTCTTGAGACTGACCTTGAAGGAGGAAAGGGAGGAAGCAAGGCGAAGGCACTGGGGGATGGAGTTCCAGAGCCTGGGGGCTGAGAGGCTGAAGCCCGGCCACCGATAGTAGGGCGGTTGGGGCGGGGGATGTGGAGCAGACCGGAGCCAGAGGTACGGGCAGGTAAGCAGGGGAATAGTAGGTCGGAGAGGTAGGAGGGAGCAAGGCCGTGAATGGCCTTGTAGGTGAGGATGAGGATCTTGAATTCGATCTTGAATTTTACTGTAAAGTGGATTTACTGTGTATTTTTTGGGCGAATCATGACAGCCAATTGTGCACAGCAGTGTCCCACAAACAATCGTGGATTGAGTGACCAAATTATATTTTTATTTTTGGAGAGTTTATTGCTCACGATGCCTGTTTTCATTCAAATCACTGTTCAGCCCCGCTCCATGCATGCCCTTTCACCATGCCTGAAAAAAGACTAGAGCAGCATTATATGAATGTTTAGAAGGTTCCTGCTCACTATTCAGTGACTGCTACTAAAATCCCAAGTGAGAACTGAGTTTGACTATGATCTGCCCCATGTCAAGTGAGGAAGATAGCTATCTAAGCTTTTATGTTAAGAAATAACCATTTGAGTGAGGTGTTGGAGGTTGCTGAGACTTGTAACAACAATAAATTGCATTTCTATGGTGACTTTCACTTCAGGGGGATATCCCAAGGCGCAAGAAGGCCAGCGATTTGGACCCGAGCAGGGAATTGGGATCAGGAGGGATGGAGGGTAGGGGTAGAAGGGTGGCCAAACGCACGATCGAAGAGGAGGGTCTTGAGACGTGACTTGAAGGAGGCAAGGGAGGAAGCAAGGTGAAGGGACTGGGTGGAATTCCAAAGGGTTGGGGCAGAGAGGCTGAAGATGGTGTGGTGGGCCGGCATGGAGCGGGCCTCAGCCTGCTGAGTGGAGGATGATATGGTGTTAGTGGGTCACAGAAGTAGCAAGTCCATGGAGGGCTTTAAAGCCAATATTCAACCAGATTTTGCACTTTTAAGAGATGAAGTTCTGAATTTTGCAGAGCTCTGGTCACTTGAATCAGCCTATTCCTAAAACAGCCAATTGGAAAATGTCTTAATTGTTTGTTCTATTTCACTTAATAGGAATCGGCGGATGTTTGGCCTTTTGATGGGTACTCTGCAGAAATTCAAGCAGGAATCTAATGTTGCAACTGAACGGGTATTTTATTTTTGTTGTGCTGTTCTTTATGTATCATCCATCACCAGTTTCAAGATCAATTTGTGGCAACATGAGATTGCTGACTATAATCTCTGCACATGAGAGAAACACATAAATCAGTTTAGAAACTTGACATGATCGCTTTTCTGTACAACAAATTTAAATACTTGGTAACTTTTAAACTTGCTATCTACACACTTTGAGCATCAGCTTTCCTCTTAATTCCCAATAAGATCTTTACACATAATCTGTATCGCATCCGCACTGGAGGCAAAAGAATGCTCTCAAAGCCTTTAGGGTAAAAGTTCATTACTAGAGTTTGTGCTGTTGTTTAGTTGTACCTTGATATAAAAGATGTGCTGTTGGTCAAACAATGTTCCCGTCGTAATGTTGGATATATAACATTGTATACAACCACAAGATTACATTTGTATAGCGCCTTTCACGTCGGGAGGATGTCCCAAGGCGCTGGACAGAGTACAGCATTTCAGACCCGAGCTGGGGTTGGGGGGGGTAAGGGAGGGAAAGGGGGATGGCCGATGGAATGGTCGAAGAGGAGGCTCTTGACACCGGACTTAAAGGAGGCTAAGGAGGGGGCGAGGCGGAGTAACTGGGGAATGGAATTCCAGAGGTTGGGGGCAGAGTGGCTGAAGGCTCTCCCGTCAATGGTGTGGTCGGGGGACATGGAGCAGGCCAGAACCAGCTGAGCGGAGGGAACGAGCGGGTTGGTAGGGGGTTAGGATGTCGCAGAGGTAGGGTGGGGTGAGGCCATGGAGGGCTTTGTATGTGAGGACCAGGATCTTGAACTGGATCCTCTGAAGGATAGAGAGCCAGTGGAGTCAGGCGAGAGCGGGGGAGATGGGGTTACGGAGTTTGGTGCGGGAGAGGACACGGGCTGCAGAGCTCTGGATTATCTGCAGCCTGTGGAGGGAGGAGTTGGGAAGGCCGACAAGCAGGGCGTTTGCATAGTCGAGCCTGGAGGTGATGAAGGCTTGAACAGGAGTTTCAGCAGCCTGAGGGGTGAGGTAGTGGCATAGTCGGGTGATGTTACGGAGGTGAGGGAAGGCAGAGCGGGTCATGGCTTGAATGTGGGGGAGAAAAGACAGTTGAGGGTCGAACAAGACACCTAGGTTCCTGACTGGCTTGGTGAGTTGCAGTGTGCAACCATGGAGGTTGATGTATATGGATAAATGTTTTCATTATTTCCGTTGTCCAACTATAAACCAAGGGTGGATAATTGTTTATTTTTTTAACACTTTAATCCATTTATTTTTGGTTTGCTGTTGACTTTCACGCCGAATAAATCCAAATTGTTGTGGTCTGTAGTGGTATTTGGGTTCATGTAACTTGCTCCTGAATCCATAGCTCTGTCCCATTACTAATAGCATAGGTTTCCTTGATTTCTCTGACGTGTTGTGAATGATTTGTTGTTGCTCCCCATTATAGTGATTCTGAATGACTTTTTCCTGATCCTACCAAATTATTCAAGGTTAATAGGCATATATCAGATCAAAGGATTTCAGCTGCATGTACAGTGGTTCGCAGAATGATTTTTATGGTACATGAAAGCCTTGTTGAGTATGTTTTCAAAAGATTACCAGTTTAGATTTGCCAGATACTGTGAGGTATGTTTATGCAATTAGGAATAATTGTTCTGTATTCTGTAACTTTTCGCAATTTTTTTTAAAACAGCAAAAAAGACGCCAGGAAATTGAGCAAAAACTTGAAGTACAAGCAGAACAAGAGCGTAAACAAGTAGAGAATGAGAGGAGAGAATTGTTTGAAGAACGCCGCACAAAACAAACTGAACTAAGACTTTTGGAACAAAAAGTGGAATTGGCCCATTTGGTAGGGATTTTATTTGTGTATTGAAGCTAGGTTTAAAATCGTGCTTTACAACCTTTATATGTACCTTAGTAATTCTTAAATGCTTTTTCCTCACACAGCAAGAAGGATGGAATGAGCATAACTTAAAAATAATCAAATATATAAGAACAAAGACAAAGCCTCACCTATTTTATATTCCTGGCAAACACTGTCCGGCTACTCAAAAGCTTCTAGATGACTCCCAAAAGAAGATGAATGGTAGGTTTTGTTCAATTTTCTTAGAAAGAAACTGCAGTAGATGTTTCAAGACTGCTCATTCATTTCATTGGTTGTTCATGGGACCTCATTGACAGTTTCCTATGAAGCATAAGTCAGTACACTTGCCAGTAAATTGCTGTGAAGTACTTTGAAATATTTTGTCACTTTAAATATGCAAGTATTAGTTTGCATTTGGATTCAATACTGGTTGGCAGGGTGGCAAAACAAGTTGAGTGTAAAGTGGCAAAGATATTATCTGATATATCAAGCAGAAAACACTTTGGATTTGCAGGCAGGAACCAGCAGCAGGCTGGAACCGATGTGCATTTACTTTATGTAGAGGCCAAAATGTAAATGATCAGTTATAATAATGGACTTTGTTGGACTACATAGTACAAGGCATTTGTCAGATAACCAGTGTTTGATACTCCATAATGCATCACTTCTTTATAATGTGGAAACTGTATGACTTATAATTCCACTGAATGACAGCACATTGAAGGTCTAATATCCAGCAGAGCTCTTAAATATTTGAGTAACATTGTTTAATGATAAAATACTAGAATACTGCAGATACAGTAAATTCCTGTCAAGTGTGCCTGGCTCGTTACAATCTTGATACTTGGCATTGATTTTTAGTTGAAATTTAAAACGTAAAACATGGCCCAGGTCAATCTGCTGAGTATCTGTAACACAGGTCAAGTAAGAAATCGAGCAGGAGGTAGTGGATGGGAATGTGGTATAAGTCTACAATATTTGTAAACCTATAATAAGCAAACAAGTACCTGAGAATACAATACAGTATGCTGTAATTGTAATTTTTTTTAAAAGAGATCAAAGTCGAACCGGACTCCAGGTTGATAATTGCAGGAAAGTGAATTGTCACTAGCAAAGGATTATGTTGGCTACACTAAGTGAGTGAATCTCAGGGGTGATGGTGTTCAGATTCTGCAAATTCCTTTTCTTGCCCTCCCCAAACTGTTGTGTGCATTAATGGATCATGAACTCTGAATTCCTTTCCTGAATGTCCTTTATGGCATTTTTAGCAAGAGGTCCCATAACTGTGTAGGTTTTTTGATGAGGAGAAATCCAAAATTGCAAGTCCCTCCAGAGGAGCAAAGAACAGTCCCGCTTCTGAAGAAAAGTAATGCATTTTGCTGAAGTGGAAAACGCTATTTCTCAACATCTTTCAATAAGTCACTAGACTTCATTTGGTTTCATGATTTGTTTTTTTTTCGAGAGAAAATAAACTGTAAATGCGCCATTCTTGGCTAAACTTTTTTCCCTTTTGAATCTACAGCAATTTTTGAACAGAGACGTCTGGAGTTTGCAGATCAGATTAACAGAATGGAAGTTAGACCTAGACGTCAGTCACTGAAGGAGAGAGAACAGCCAGAGTTGCAGAATGAAGAGCGACAGAACGAGGAAAAGGAGGGTAAGGTGGCTCACCGTGAGGAGATTGAGGAAGTAGGTAACAAGAACAATGAGGTAGAAATGGAGGCAGAAGAGGAAGTGGAAGTGGGTGCAGCTCAGAGTGATGCAGGGAAACAGCAGCAGGAAAAACCTCAGGAAGATGAGGCTGAGGAAGAGGAGGAGGTGGAGGAAGGGGAGAGCAACAGTCAGCCAGAGAGTATGCCTGTCGATGAGGAAAAGGAAGTTAGTCAGAGTGTAGAGAATGATCAGGAAATGGCTGAGGAGACAGAGAAGGTTCAGGAGGAGACAGTGGTTGAAATCTGTAAGGAGCCAGAGCCTGAACCTGAGCTCGAGCAAATACCGGAATCCGAGCCCAGGCCTGAACCTGAGCTTGAATGTCCTGTTAAGCCTGAGACCGAGCAAGAGAATGTGGTCAGCACTGAGCCTATGGATTTGCAAGTGGAGCAGGTGAAAGTGTCACCCAGGAAAAGTGTAAGCAGGAGTAAGAGCGGTAGCAGGAGTAAGAGCAGAGGCCGTGACAAGACCAAGAGTAAGAGCAAGAGTAGGAGTCGGAGCAGCTCTAGCTCCAGCTCGAGCAGTAGTTCTAGCACTAGCAGCAGTGGGAGTAGCTCGAGCAGTGGGAGCAGCAGCAGAAGCAGCTCTAGCTCTAGCAGTAGCAGCGGCAGCAGCAGTAGGGATAGCAGTAGTAGCAGCAGCAGTAGTGAAAGTCGAAGCCGAAGTCGGGGGCAGAGCAGGGACAGGAAGCGTAGGAGGAGTTCAGAGAGAAAACGCAGAGTTGTTTCGAGTGCAGACAAGGACCGTAAGTCATCAAAAAACAGTAGTAGCAAAGAGGTAAAAGGATCGAGGGAAAAGGGGTCACGTACAGATAGAAAGAGGTCTGTGTCAGAAAACCGTTCAGGAAAAAGGTCGTCGCGTAATGAAAGAGATCATAAATTGGACAGAAAAGACAAAAAGCACTAATTCACAGAAGACTGTACTTTAGAAAGGCAGTTTGTACAACTTGGTGATGACATACCTGACAGGTGGAGGGATGTTCTCTTTCAGCTGGAGGATAAATCCACCTTAAGTCTTGCATGCTGTATAGTACTTTTATTGGAAACCCTTGAGACTGTTAAATGATTGCCATGAGTCCCCGTACTTTTACATTGTTTTGTAAGAAATTTTCTCTGATTACTATTAAAAGTGTATTCTGAAGATGGAATTGTATGGAAAATAGTGTACTGAGCTTGTTTGAAGGATTAGCCTTCCTCCCTTTTCAGTGTTTTTAAACTTGTTGTATTTGACCAATAATGATACCTCTTCTGTACAGTTGAAATTCCAGGGGGTTGGGGGGGAGGGAAATGGCACCTGAACATTATGTGTTACTTCTTGGCGTAAAGACGGTTGTCACCGACTATGTACTATACAGTTTCTTTATGTAGAATTAAATGTACATTTCAAAAACAGTAAAACCGTGTTCCTATTGTCCACTAAATGTTTTCTGTATACGTTTGATTGCAGTTTATAAAACGGTGAGTAATCCATCTGAAAACTCTGTTCAAAATGACTAATTTGCATTATTAATGTATTCTACCCAGACAAGTTAAATAACACTTCCTCAACAATTTATGGCTAAATAAAATGCCTGACGTGCTGTTAAGCGATACAGACCAGATCCAAGGTGCAACCCTGGTCTTCTGCATTATCTGAAAGCAATAAAAGGGAAAAGAGGTGCTGTCATCCTGATTCCTGTGCGATGGCTTCACTAACCCTGCAGCACAAGCCAGATGAAAAGTGAAATTATTTCCTGGCCGGTCTTAGGAACATCAGTGTGAATGTATCCTGTTTTTCTGATATCCACCATCCTTGCATTCAGGGAAGATTGCTGCATTGAGACTACAGAGTTGCTACTTCTCGTAATCATAAGAGGTGACGTGGCAGTATTCCAGATTCATGCACCTTGATGTATTTATTGGATTCAGTTGCATTTTTAGAATCTGTAAACTAGGCATATTCCATTGAGTGACAGCAGATTGAAGATCTAATATCCAGCAGGGCTCTTAAATATTTGATTAACTTTGTTTAAAGATAATATACCAAGATGGAAGGTATTTTTATTCCTGTCAAACCTTTTCCTACGAAAAAGATCCGGAAGATTGCAAATTCCACTGGACAGCCAAACTATTGCTACTTGGTGCCATCCTGTGATACAGGATTTTGTGTACCCCTTGGTTTTCAATTAATTGTTTCAGCCTGAGCTGGGTTTTGGTTAATTTGCATTGAACTAAAGTTAAACAATTTTCAGGATTCAAATAAATGCATATAACAACTTGTATTCAATAAGCACCCTTTGCGTAGGATAGCATTTTGGAGAGCTGCACGCTGGCGGAAGTGAACATAGGAACAAGTGTAGGCCAATCAGCCCTTCAAGCCTGTTCTGCCATTCTGCAAGATTATGGTTGATTTGTACCTCAACGACAAGAAGAAGATTACATTTGTATAGCGCCTTTCACGTCGTGAGGACATCCCAAGGCGCTGGACAGTGTACAGCATTTCGGACCCGAGCTGCAGTCATGGGGGGGAGAGGAAAGGGGGTTGGCCAATGGCACGGTCGAAAAGGAGGGTCTTGAGGCGAGACTTGAAGGAGGCTAAGGAGGGGGCGAGGCGGAGTGATTACTATAGGTGCAGTCTTAAAGAGGTAAGTCAAGGTGGATAGAGAGTGGGTGAGGCAGGGAGTTTTGGAGGTTAGGGGTATAATGGATGAAAGCACAAACACTGAGGAGTTGGACGTACAGGAAGCCTGAGCCAGCTGAGTAAAGGGGGTTGGCAGGGGAATGGACTTTGGGCACGTCAGAGGTAAGGAGTTGCCAGGGCATGAAGGAATTTGTATATGAGGGTGAGGATCTTAAAATCGATCCTTATTGAGAGAGCCAGTGGATTGGGGTGAGAAGTTTTGGATGAGCTGGATATGGTGGTTTGTGGAACTGGGGAGTTTGAGAAGTCAAATTCCGGGAAGGGGGGTGGACAAAGCTATGGTGGAAAGATGCATCTTGTATTTTTTTCAAAATTCAAGTCTTTCGATTTCTTTCACAATTTTCCTCAGCAAAGAATTTAGAAACGTTAGAATTTGTATTGCAACACTATATTCGTACCTTAGATATTATTTCTCCTAACAATACATTGTAGCAGGAGTGACAGCGTTTTCAAGTGTGAAAGCATTGGCCCAATGAAGTCCCCAAATAAAATTATTTCCTACCAGAGAATGTGAAACAGGTTAATTGCTACAGGTTTACTCTGCTGAATTTGCCGCCGTGAGTAAACAATTCAGAAGAAAAGTTGGAGAGGCAGAAGAAGAGTCAATTCTCCTTTGGAGAATCAGAAAAGAAATCCCAAAGGTTATGGAATATTTGGAATTTAAAATCTTACTGCTTTTTTTGAAATTTGGAGTGTAATTCTGCACCCAAGTTCTGTTTTCCAGAGCAAACACCGCAGTATAATAAAGTGCCACCAGAGGGCAGAATAACTGGTTTTAACTATCGTGCTGTAAAGAGGTCACAAATTATTTTAAGTGACTGAAACATTAACCTTGTCCTTTAAAAGAGGTGGATTGAATGCATCAGTTTTTTTAAATTAAAACTGCTACGTATAATCTGCATATTAAACTATTTTGTGAATCGGACATCGCAAAAATTGAAAAACACCAATTTCTGCAATAAACAATACACTTTATACCATTTTTGTCAAGGATTACAATTGTAAGCAATAAAGTTTATTGTACCTGCAAACTGTATTGCAGCTCAACCTTTGTGGTGTTATCTCCATTAAATATGAAAAACATTAACAGTTGGCCCATGGAAGCCCAGTAGAAATTGTATCATGTTCAGAATCCTAAAATGGCTGATATGCCAATGAAGCAGTTAGATCCCATCAATACATTTTCAATATTTCCAATTAACAAATTCAGTAAGAGTTTGCCCACAATACACTGTCACAGCAATATATGGTATATAATCCTTACATTTGATATAGTGCCTTATCATGTCTTTGAGATGTCTCAAAGTGCTTCACAGAATATATTGTAAAGTGAATTGACTATATTTTATGGGTGAAACACAACAGCCAATTGCATACTGCAGCGTCCCACAAACAGTCATGGATTGAGTGACCAATTTATTATTACTACTCCCGGAAAAGCGATCTGCCAATTAACTAACAACTGGGTTCCTACTTATTGCTAGGTATACAGGCGTGTGGAGTAAGGAAACTTGCCCAACGTTTCGACCTGCCGGGAATCAAACCCAGGTCTCTTGCTTGCGAGGCAAGTGCTCTAACCACTGAGCTACAGGACACCATCCCGTGAAGCACTTTGAGATGGCTCGACACGATAAGGCACTAAATCAAAATATAAGGTTTATTCTCAATAATAGGAGAGGAAGGGAGCAATAGCAATGACTGGTAAAAGGTAAAACCAATTTTATACCCTTGTGTTTATTTGTGCCAAAGGGGGAAGGGAGGAATCATTGCAACAATGGGATTAGAGTGAAAAGCAATTTTGCTTTTTTTAAAAAAAAAAGAAGTTGCACAGACAGCAGGAGCAAAAGGAATGGTTTAAATCGAAATGAGGCAGGGGATAAACCTCAATTTGGGGGGCTCAGACACATGTAAAAACCCATCTTAAAGAGTATCTAAACCAAACTGAGAATTCCATGCATCCCACCTACACAGGGAAATTCCAGAGACAGATTGTGGAATGATATGGGCGCTCTCCCTGGAGGGAAGCATCTTGTTTACCTAATCCCGGTAAGTGTCAGGCGCAGGTTGGCAAGAGCCAAGGCTCGGGGGACCTCAGTGGTTATTGCTGGAATCTGACCGGCTAATAACCGCAAAGCTTACCATTGGCATGGCTGCCTGGCAAGCTTTCCTGGTGCTTGTCCAGCCAGGTCCGTCCGGCCTCGCCAGTTGGGGTTTGGGGTGGCAGAGTCCGCAAGGTTCAAAACTAATGTGGAGGGTTGTACAACATTGACTGCCCAATCGCAGTTGAATTTTGGTTCCGGGGACCTCTCCAGGGGGTGGGCAGGGGGCAGGTCTGACGATTGACATCCCTTTGTAACCAATGTTGAGGGTGGTTCTGCTCCAAGTGATTGGCAGCTCAGCTCCAGTGAGAAAGGAACATTCTCAACCGTGAGGACTGCAACTGTTCGAGACTCGCTCTGGGGTCTTATTTCAAAAAGATACAACGTGAGTATTTATTGCTGACTCTGATGTTGAATGAGAGCCCTTGGGATTAAAATTGAAAACTGCATATAATAATAATAAGACAATGATTATTTTTTAAATGTAAGAGATACCTTCTCCGTAAAACATATATATATATATATATATGTGTATACATATAGACCCACTTTCTAAACGAGCTTTCCTTTTACTGAGTTCAGCCACATACACCAGTCAGTCAGTCAGTCACAGGAGATGCTGACAACGTGATACTATAAAAGAAGGAACTGCTTTGAATGAGGACTTCCTTGTCGCACTCATCCGGTGTGACAGCAAACAAGTTATTTGTCTTTAATCCTCTTTTTTTTTTGAGCTTTGAAACGCTTGTGTAAGAAATATTAACTTTTTTTTTGCTTTTGTTTGCCTGAATAGTTGGGGGTGGAGGGGGTGGGGGTGGGGGGGTGGTGCCAGGAGGCCAGTTATTTCGAAAAGGACAGCAATAAGAAATGCAAATGATTTTAAAACTTTGGTTGAACTTCATTACCGTTTATTGACGAAACAATGATCGCAACGTGTGGTTTTGCAGATAACATAACATGCTGTAGCCTTGGAAACTGCTTTGGTGGAAACTTCACCCAGAACTTGGAAAATTCACATCTTGTGAATGGGACACTGGAATGTCATAAATAGTTCTTGAGCCCCATATAGCAACACAGCATCTCGGTAAAGGGGTGAGGGACGTGTTAATGGTGAAGTTGCAATTGGTAGGTTTCAAAGGGCCAGTGAAGTCTACACCCTGTAGAGGAGACACACACGTCCAGGAAAAGACTTGGGAGTGAGTTGTCCTACACACAGCAAACAAAAAAAAACATAGACTAAAATGGTGATCTGTCAGGATAAGAATACTCATTCGTAAATATATGTATATATATATATATATATATAGATTGTCTTTATCGCTTAGGCTTAAAACAAAAGGTATCTGAGAAAGTTACAGGCTTATCACTTAAGCAGAACTTATCAATATAACCGCCTCTCCCTCTTTGCTTTACAAAAAAAAAGTCGTTTTTTTTAAGGAAATGCTGTTCATCCCTCTTTAATTTCTAATTAGCCCAAGTGCAATTAATGTCGAATTTCTGTTAAATGTCCAACAATTTGCACCGGTGGACAATTCACGAATTAAAAAGAAAAGTAGCGTTGTAAAACTGAAATGCGTTCCGATGATGATAAAATGCTTACGTTTCAGAGGGAGAGAGTC